AAGGGGGAAGAGGAGGGGGAGGTGGAAGAAGACGAGGTGGTGGTGGCGGTAACTCCGACAGTTTCGAGGATGTGGTTCGTTCGTCGTGGCGGGGCATTAATGGGGCGAGCAGCCAATGGCACGACTTTGTGCATGCATGGACAAGTATACACGTGTAGAGGTGCCGAGAGCGACAGAGGTGAGCAGTGCGGCAAGGCAAGAGCAACAGAGATGGGCGAGAGAGAGAGAGAGAGAGAGAGAGAGAGAGAGAGAGAGAGGCGTGGAAGAAGGGGAGGAACACTCACCTTCGGCAACGTTCTCCGAGGACGTCAAGCGGCGGCAGGTCGCAGTACCAGAAGAATGAACTCCGCGGTGAATTGAAGCAGTGGACACAACGTGGAGTGGAGCCCTGTTTTTCTGTGCGGAGGCCCGGAAAATCAAGGAGTTTGAATTCGAATTCTGAGGGCCTCCCCGCTGGAGGGCATCCTAGCAGAAGGGCAAAATGGACAGCCACCACAGGAAATGGGACCGGCCTACCGGTAGGGGCATTCCGAAAAGTTGTGCCGCTCACTGACAGGGGCCTTTTCGAAAGTTCAGAGGCCCCAGGGGCAAATCAGGGTAAGTCGGCCGTCGGAGGGGCAAATCGCAAATAAATGCAAACTTCAGGGGCATTTCGAAAATTTTCCCTAAAATTTTATATGCTTTCCAAAAAAAAAGAGAAAAAAAAAGGTTCAGACTCAGGCTTGAAGTCCAATTTTGCAGCAGCAGCAGCAGCGTCCCAGGCAAAACAGACGGTAAAAAAAAAGTCCCACTGGGAACGGACAGGAAAAGTTCCCTGTCAGGACTTTTACTGGGCTCGAAGTTCAGGGTCGAAGTCCAATTTGGCAGCAGCGTCCCAGGAAAGAGTCTGGAAGGTACCAGGCGACCAAAAATCATGCAGCAGACAGGCAGCGGGCAACCCCGATGCCTGTCAGAGGCAAACCAAGGCCAAGGGTCACGCCGCACGGCACACGAAACGAGTGCATCTGTGCCCACCAAAGGTGGCAAAATACACTCGTTAAACCGATGAACCTGGCCATTTTCTGGGGGAAGATACATTCGTTTCGTTTTTCGTTTCCTGTGCCGTGCGGCAATGCCCCAAGTCAAGCAACTATTACTATTAATAGCTGCTACAGTGCAGCTCACATCATCTATTCTCCTGCTTGAGTTGCGGAAGTGCCGCTGGTTGCTTGTGCGACCTCACAGCTTGGGCTGTGCGGCAGAGGGGCTGCTTGGCGGCACCCCAGTTAGGGCGAAAGCGGCCGTAGCTGCCATAGCTGAAGTTGCAGTTGGAAGTAGAGTGGATGTATCCAGGGTTACCATCCTAGTAGTAGCAGTTAAGGGTGGGGGGGGGAGGGGGGGGG